AACGGGGGAGATGAGAGAAGGGGGGAGAAGAGAGAAGGGGGGAGACGAGAAAAGGGGGGAGAAGAGAGAAGAGAAGGGGGGAGAAGAGAGAAGGGGGGAGACGAGAGAACAGAGGAGAAGAGAGAAGAGAAGGGGGGGGAAGAGAGAAGGGGGAGAAGAGAGAACGGGGGAGATGAGAGAAGGGGGGAGAAGAGAGAAGGGGAGCGACGGGGAAGTGGGGAAAGGGGTTGAGAGTGCATGTAATGGGTTGAGAGTGCATGTAATGGGTTGAGAGTGCATGTAATGGGTAGTTAACTTGAAACACCAGTGCCTCAGACGGCCTTGCTGGCAGCCAGGAGGAAGAGGAAGCGTGAGTGTGAGTGTCACTATCCTGCTTTGTTCCTCCCTCATGCCCAACTCGCCCCTCCCATGCACCTGCATGAGAAGGAAGCTTCACACCTGCATGCTCCACTTACCCGCCCTCCACACACTGGCCCCGACCCCCTCATCCACCCACCCGCCACCTACCTGCATGTCCCACTTGGCGCGCACGCAGCACTCCTTGCCCACATCGCTGCCCTTCAGCATCTCCCCCCACAGCTGCAGGTTGCGCTCCACACTGTGCCCCCGGCACGCTGCATCCCACACACCTTCACCCATTTCAGTGTCTTTATCCCACTCACTTAATCACACGCACCTGCATGTCCCACTTGGCGCGCACGCAGCACTCCTTGCCCACGTCGCTGCCTTTGAGCATCTCCCCCCACAGCTGCAGGTTGCGCTCAATGCTGTGCCCGCGGCACGCCGACTCGGTCCCCACCATGCGCTCCTCCCGCATCTGCTCCTTGGGCGTGCTGTCCACGTATGCCTTGCCCTCGCGAATCAGCTTCTCACACATCGCCTGAAGGGGAGCGAGGGGGGAGGGAGGGGCGGAGAGGGGGAGAAGGAGATGTGGGGTGAGGGGAAGAGATACGGGGAGGGGCGAATGAGAGGGTGGGAGAGGAAGAAGGGACTTCATCCCCCCCTCATGCGCTCCTCCCACATCTGCTCCTTGGGCGTGCTGTCCACATATGCCTTGCCCTCGTGAATCAGCTTCTCACACATCGCCTGAAGAGGTGGGAGGGGGGGGAGAGGGGAGGGTTGAGGGGGGAGGGAGGCGGGAGGGTTGAGGGGGGAAGGGAAGAGGGGGGAGGGGGGAGGAGAAGAGGGAAGGGGAGGGAGGGGTTAGGACGAAGGAGAGAGAATACACAGTCGACTGCAGAGTAGGGGAGGAAGCGGGGACGGACAGAGAGTCTCCTTACAGGCTTCACGGATGGATTTCGCTCAGCTCCCATCCCCACACGGTCCCAGCAGGGAGAGCATCACATAGCATGTGCGCACATGCATGACCACTGCCACCAACAGTGACTCCCATCATCGGGATCCTCAGCATCACCATCATCCTCAGCATGACCATCAGCAGCAGCAGTGGATCACAATAAGCCCATCGAAGCAGTCAGAAATACAAGTCATCAAAGACGTGTGAATGAGTGATCCTCCCCCACTGCCACCCCACTGCCACCCCACTCCCCCCACCAACTCACAATGAGCCCATCAAAGTAGTTCGAAGTGTGGGTGATATTGTCCCACGTGAGGGCAACCCCACTGCCACCGCACTGCCACCCAACTCACAATGAGCCCCCCCCTCTCTCGCCTCCCCCTGCCCCCACCCACTCACGATGAGGCCCCCCCTCTCTCTCCTCCCCCTGCCCCCACCAACTCACAATGAGCCCATCGAAGTAGTCCGAAGTGTGGGTGATCTTGTCCCACGTGAGCCCCAGCCGGGCCATGTCAGCCAGGATGCTCTCCACGAACTCGTCCTTCTCCTTGCTGGGGTTCGTGTCGTCAAACCGCACCAGCATCTTCCCGCCGTACTTCTCCGCAAAGAACTGGTTCATCAGCGCCGCCTTCGCATGCCCGATGTGCATAAACCCGCTGGGCTCAGGAGGAAACCGGGTTACCACCTGCCCATACACCGCCCCTGGAAGCTCCATCTCCGCTGGCTGGTCTCCCCCTCCCCCTGTGCTTCCGCCTGCCCCTCCTGCCGCCCCTCCGCCATCCCCCTTCTCCTCCTTCCCCTTACCGCCGCCCTTGCCTCCTTCCTCGCCCGCGCCTGGCCCCTTCTTGGCTGCCGAGGCTAAGGCTTGGGCGGCCTTCTTGCTGAAGGGCAGCAGGCTCGGGGCGAGGTCGGGAGCTTCGGCGGAGATGGTGTTGAACCAGCGGATGAGGTTCGGGTACTTGGCTGTGGGCGACCTGCGTATGCTGTCCCACCGCTGCCCTGTGGCTGGAATGGCATGGCACAGGGCACATGGGATGGCATGGCACAGGGTACATAGGATGGGAGTAAGGAGAGTAGACACGTTGGAACAAGCTGACTTTTGAGGCGACTCTATACTCAGGTTCGGGTACTTGGCTGTGGGCGACCGGCGTATGCTGTCCCACCGTTGCCCTGTGGCTGCCGTGCCGTGTCACCGCGTGCACGGGAATGAAGGAAAGCAAATACGTTAGAACGCAGTACGCTTCAATTCAATAACTGGTACACGCGTACTTAAACACGATGAAAGGATACACATTGAAGTTTGAGAATGAAGGAAATATATGCGCTGTGCTGCTGTGCTGTGCTGTGCTGCTGTGCTGTGCTGTGCTGTGCTGTGCTGTGCTGTGCTGTGCTGTGCTGTGCGGTGCGCGTACCACAGAGGGCGGCGAAGGCGGCGATGTCAGCGATGGAGAGGTGGAAGGCGACAAACAAAGGAAGATATGCCAAGAGAAACATTCGTATGCCATGCCAAGTGCGCTCTGCTGGGCTGCGCTCTGCTGTGCTGGACTGGGCTGTGAGGTGCTGTGAGGTGCTGTGCGGTGCTGTGAGGTGCACGTACCAAAGAGGGCGGCGAAGATGGCGACATCAGCGATGGAGAGGTCGAAGGAGACAAAGAAGGTGCGCGCGGCGAGGTAGCTGTTGAGGTACGCGCACACGCGCTCGAACTCTGACCCGACGCTCAGAGTTGGTGCGTAATCAACCACCTCGTCCACCTGGTGCAGTGCGGTGTGGGGGGTTGTGAAGTGGTCGGAATGAAGCAAGGGAGCGGTGCATAGGGGTGTGACGCGGTGGGAAGAAACGGGAGAGGTAGGAGCTGAGGCACGCGCAGATGCGCTGAAGCTGGTAAAGAGGCTGAGAGCCCACACCGTCGGTAGGTGCGCTGCGCAGAGCAGAGCAGAGAATCACGTCGACGACCTAACGACGCGGGTTTGTCGCGCAGTCACGGAAAGGGCGAAACGCTTCAACATGCTGCGAAAAGCAACACCTTCCAGATTTAACCCCGCATGACTATTGCAGCGGCTATTCTCTGTACCCGACCGAAGGGTGACGAACGACGGAAACCAGCAGCGAGTCAGCGACTACGGCTGTTCGCTGAGAACATCGCAGCCAAGCCACCTGGCGCTCAGCGATTGGCTCCTGCTGCCCCACCTGGCACGCGGCGATTGGATCTGAGCCGCCGTAGAAGCCCTCCCGCTGCGCGACGCGGCCGAAATAGCGGAGGATGGTGCCAGCCCCCCGTAGCTCGTCGCTGATTGGTTGCGGGGGGAGGCGACGCGGCGAGGGAGGATATAAGAGAGAAAACGGGGAAATATGGAGGAATGGGGAGGGAGCACGTGGCAAGGGTTCACGAAGACAATAACGGCGGGAAAGGAAGGAGAGGATAGGGTCCATGGGTGAAAGCACGATCACGAGAGAATGGGTGAAAGGACGGTGGAGATGGTCAGGTAAGCTGCGGTGACGAGAAGAATGAGGGATCCGAGGAGGCATGGCGATGCTGGAGCCGAGTCGAGACGGTAGGGCGGTCCGAGGAGGGCGAGGTGAAGGATATCGAGGCGCGGAGTGCGACGGGATGGGGATCAGAAACGACACGATGCGGCGACCGACAGCAATGACTACGCTACGAAGAACAGCGGTAGCGAATCTAAGTTCGAATCTTGCTGAATTCGTAGGGAGCTGGAATGATCTGCTCCGAAGTGGGTCTAAGGGAGTGAGGGAGCGAGGGAGCGTACCCCGTGGGGAGGTACAGCACGGGCGGGCTGCTTCCAGACAGGCTTGCGTCGACGGCGGCATCGATCTCGATCTTTGCAATGGCCGCCGCTCCGATCGCCGCCAGAGGCGCCGCGTCTTGCGGAAATCGGAGGACTGATTTGTTCGCCATTTTGGTAGGAGGGTATGCAGCAAGAAGGGGGTTTACGAGAAAACGTGCTCCGCTGTGGAGTTTCTCGGTTTCACAATGGACTTTGGCGAGTTTTCCTCAGTTTAAAATGTAGGCGTCGCAATTCAACGTTTGGACACCACATACATATTTGCCCAAGATCACACTGGTGCCGGATAAGGAAACCACACTTGCACTGTATTCGATCTACAGTAATTACTAGAACGAGGGGTCTACTGATGTTCACCTCCCCGTCGCCCTCGCCTCCCCTGTTTCTCCTTCGCCTGACCCATCGCGTTAGCAATCGTGCCGCCAAGTCACTCCCCCCAGTGACGGGGTCTCGTCTCTCACTCACACTGGTAATTCACTCGCGCCGCGCTCACTACCGTCCTTCAATCTGGTCGCCGCCTTATCATTAGCTCCTTCGCGACCGTCACGAGTGCCTTCGAGATAGTGCCTTGCGACAGTCACCAGTGCCTTGCGACAGTCACCAGTGCCTTGCGACAGTCACAAGTGCCGTGCGACAGTCACCAGTGCCGTGCGACGCCTTGGGACTCCACTGCGAACTCCACCGCTCCGATTGAGAAGCGACCAAGAGAATGAAAGTGTGAGCATCCGCACGTCGACATTTCCACCCGCCTCTCCGCTTCCATTGAGGCCCCTCAAAATTCGCTTCCACCCGTCCTCTCCGCTTCTACTCCCCCCCCCTCATGCCGATCTGCAAGCTGCTCAGTATATGGCCACACATGGGTGGTGCACACGGGTGTGGTGCACATGGTGCCGTCACGTATGGTCGCGGAGCCCAAGTATACTCATCGTCCCTCTCTTTTCACCCCTTCTGTTTCTCCCCTCTTATTTCCACCTCTCCCCCTCTCCCCCTCCCCACCACTTCGCCCTTCCCGTTCCCACCTCCCGTTCCCCCCTCCCCTCCCACTTTCCGTCCCCCCTTTCCCCCCCCAGCCTGCAACCATGTGCGGGCCTCTTGACAAACCACGAGGTGTTTGAGCTGCTCACAGACCGGGGGGCCATGGGAGCAGTGGACGTGTCACAGGGCGGCATGGGACCGGCAGCCATAGAGTGCCAGGTCTACACCTATCTCTGCACCGCCCCTGCCGCCACGCAGACGCGGGCGGCTGTAGCCGCGTGCGTGGAGCGGGCGGCGACGTTTGGACTGACGCGGCTGGAGAGGCTGCAGCTGGTGAATCTGAGGCCGTCTCAACCTGTAGAAGCACACCTGGTAGGTGGCAGTGATTCGCTGTAACAACACCTGATATTATCACAATCAGTGTGATGACACACAGCTACATGTTTCGAGAAAATTAGATATTTCCCACTATCTCCTGAGCATTCGTCCGTTCTTGTCCATTGTTCCTTTTTAATCGTCTTCGTTACTCGCCCATCACGCCCCCATCACGCCCCCATCACTCCCCCATCACTCCCCCATCACTCCCCCATCACTCCCCCATCACTCCCCCATCACGCCCCCATCACTCCCCCATCACTCCCCCATCACTCCCCCATCACGCCCCCATCACTCCCCCATCACTCCCCCATCACTCCCCCATCACGCCCCCATCACTCCCCCGTCACTCCCCCATCACTCCCCCATCACGCCCCCATCACTCCCCCGTCACTCCCCCATCGCGCCCCCATCACTCCCCCATCACTCCCCCATCACTCCCCCATCACGCCCCCATCACTCCCCCATCACTCCCCCATCACTCCCCCATCACGCCCCCATCACTCCCCCATCACGCCCCCATCACTCCCCCATCACTCCCCCATCACTCCCCCATCACGCCCCCATCACTCCCCCATCACTCCCCCATCACGCCCCCATCACTCCCCCATCACTCCCCCATCACGCCCCCATCACTCCCCCATCACTCCCCCATCACTCCCCCATCACGCCCCCATCACTCCCCCATCACTCCCCCATCACTCCCCCATCACTCCCCCATCACGCCCCCATCACTCCCCCATCACTCCCCCATCACTCCCCCATCACGCCCCCATCACTCCCCCATCACTCCCCCATCACTCCCCCATCACGCCCCCATCACGCCCCCATCACTCCCCATCACTCCCCCATCACTCCCCCATCACTCCCCCATCACTCCCCATCACTCCCCATCACTCCCCCATCACTCCCCCATCACTCCCCCATCACTCCCCCATCACTCCCCCATCACTCCCCCATCACTCCCCCATCACTCCCCCATCACTCCCCCATCACTCCCCCATCACTCCCCCATCACTCCCCCATCACTCCCCCCATCACTCCCCCATCACTCCCCCATCACTCCCCCATCACTCCCCCATCACTCCCCCATCACTCCCCCATCACTCCCCCATCACTCCCCCATCACTCCCCCATCACTCCCCCATCACTCCCCCATCACTCCCCCATCACTCCCCCATCACTCCCCCATCACTCCCCCATCACGCCCCCATCACTCCCCCATCACTCCCCCATCACGCCCCCATCACTCCCCCATCACTCCCCCATCACTCCCCCATCACTCCCCCATCACGCCCCCATCACTCCCCCATCACTCCCCCATCACTCCCCCATCACTCCCCCATCACTCCCCCATCACTCCCCCATCACTCCCCCATCACGCCCCCATCACTCCCCCATCACTCCCCCATCACGCCCCCATCACTCCCCCATCACTCCCCCATCACTCCCCCATCACTCCCCCATCACTCCCCCATCACTCCCCCATCACTCCCCCATCACTCCCCCATCACGCCCCCATCACTCCCCCATCACGCCCCCATCACTCCCCCATCACTCCCCCATCACTCCCCCATCACTCCCCCATCACTCCCCCATCACTCCCCCATCACTCCCCCATCACTCCCCCATCACGCCCCCATCACTCCCCCATCACGCCCCCATCACTCCCCCATCACTCCCCCATCACGCCCCCATCACTCCCCCATCACTCCCCCGTCACTCCCCCATCACTCCCCCATCACTCCTCCATCACTCCCCCATCACTCCCCCATCACTCCCCCATCACGCCCCCATCACTCCCCCATCACTCCCCCATCACGCCCCCATCACTCCCCCATCACGCCCCCATCACTCCCCCATCACTCCCCCATCACTCCCCCATCACTCCCCCATCACTCCCCCATCACTCCCCCATCACTCCCCCATCACTCCCCCATCACTCCCCCATCACTCCCCCATCACGCCCCCATCACTCCCCCATCACTCCCCCATCACGCCCCCATCACTCCCCCATCACTCCCCCGTCACTCCCCCATCACTCCCCCATCACTCCCCCATCACTCCCCCATCACTCCCCCATCACGCCCCCATCACTCCCCCATCACTCCCCCATCACTCCCCCATCACTCCCCCATCACGCCCCCATCACTCCCCCATCACTCCCCCATCACTCCCCCATCACTCCCCCATCACGCCCCCATCACTCCCCCATCACTCCCCCATCACTCCCCCGTCACTCCCCCATCACGCCCCCATCACGCCCCCATCACTCCCCCGTCACTCCCCCATCACGCCCCCATCACTCCCCCATCACTCCCCCATCACTCCCCCATCACTCCCCCATCACTCCCCCATCACTCCCCCATCACTCCCCCATCACTCCCCCATCACTCCCCCATCACTCCCCCATCACTCCCCCATCACTCCCCCATCACTCCCCCATCACGCCCCCATCACGCCCCCATCACGCCCCATCACTCCCCCATCACTCCCCCATCACTCCCCCATCACTCCCCCATCACTCCCCCATCACGCCCCCATCACTCCCCCATCACTCCCCCATCACTCCCCCATCACTCCCCCATCACTCCCCCATCACTCCCCCATCACGCCCCCATCACTCCCCCATCACTCCCCCATCACTCCCCCATCACTCCCCCATCACGCCCCCATCACTCCCCCATCACTCCCCCATCACTCCCCCATCACTCCCCCATCACGCCCCCATCACTCCCCCATCACTCCCCCATCACTCCCCCATCACGCCCCCATCACTCCCCCATCACTCCCCCATCACTCCCCCATCACTCCCCCATCACGCCCCCATCACTCCCCTCTGGCAGATCATAGTGGACTGTGAGATGTGTCTCTCAGGTGAGAGGGTGGAGCAGCTACTGCAAGCTCTGAGGCGCCTCTAAACTTGTCCATCCCTCCCCGATCACTCCCCCATCACTCCCCCACCACGCCCCCATCACTCCCCTCTGGCAGATCATATCAGACTGTGAGATGCGGCTGCCAGGTGAGAGGGTGGAGCAGCTGCTGCAAGTGGTTGAAGAGATATTGCCAGCAGCGCCTGAGCTGGAAGGAGGGGCAGAGGAGGAGGAGGGGGGTTGAAGGCACAATGGCTGGTGGGAAGGGAGACGTTGCCAGCAGCTGTTGCAGCTGATGGCATGCTGTGTCTACCAGGCGAGAGGGTGGAGCAGCTGTTGCAGGCAGTGGAGGAGACACTGCCCGCAGCACCAGAGCTAGAGGGAGGAGCAGAGGAGGAGGATGCAGTTGAGGGGGGCTGAGGAGGGCACTAAGGCTTATGGAAGGGAGGCGCTGCCAGCAGCTGTTGCAGCTGATGGTAAGTTGCGTCTGCCGGGTGAGAGGTTGGAGGAGCTGTTGCAAGCAATGGACGAGGCACTGCCCGCAGCACAGAGCTGGAAGGAGGAGTGGAGGTGGAGGATGCAGTTGAGGGGGGTTGACGGCGCAAGAGGCTAGTGAATGCAGATGCATAGTAGAGCCTGTTGAAAGGTGGAGCCCGATTGATTGTGGCGCCAATGTACGGTATGTACCTTCCGTACGCCAAGAAACAGCATTTGAAGCTGAGTTTTGGTTGTCATTTTTTTATCTCTCGCCTGCCAGCCAGGCAACAGAGTCAGTAGGTACTGCATGCTGCAGCTCTGGCGCATGCATGGCACTTGTGGTAGGCAGTAGAAAATATTACTGTACTGATAGGCAGGACTTGCTACTACATAACCATGTACTAATTATAGGTAGTGGTTCATCAAGTAAACTGCATATATGTTCACTACGTATATGTCAAAGAAGTATAAATGGCACTCATAAACTACCGACCTCCTAGAAACGGGGTAGTTGCTCACTCCGAAACACGTGTCCACCCCTCCCTCGCATATCTACACCTGAAAATCCGGCACCACCGCCTTAGCCGCCACAATATTAGCACACTTCGTACTAACTATAGCAAACCCTCTGACTGCCAGGGTCTTCATAGGACCCTTCTCCCTCTCACCATCACCACTTCCCTTATTCCCTCCATTCCCACCACTCGCACCAGTTCTACCACTCCCACCGTCTTTCACTCCTGCTCCTCCCATGCCTCTCCGCTCCGCCTCCAGCCTCGCCTGCTGCATTTTCCGTCTCATCCTCAGCTTCGCAGCTTGTGCCGCCCGGGCGCTCTGCTTAGAGTTGGGTGAGTTTTCCACTGGAGCTGCGGAGGTTGCTGTTGAGGGCGCCACTGCCCCGCTCTGCTGCTGCTGCTGGGTTGGTTGCGAGTCAGCAGGGGCGGTGGCAGTGGCGGCAGGAGCAGCAGTGGTGCTGTTTGAGAATGTGCTGGCAGCTCCTGATTGGCTGGCCGCCATCTGCTGCTGCTGCTGCTGCTGTTTCTCTGCTGCAGCGGAGGCAGCGAGGCTGATACCAGAGGAGGCAGCGTGGTGGGTGAGGGACGAGAGTGGCTCCTCCTTACACACCCCACATGTTCGCTCCGCGGGCGGGCAGTCCTCTCCCAGCGTTATTTCCTGGACAAACCACCGGCGGAAACAGCAGCAGCAGGCGTTTTTAGATCAGCAAGGAAGGTTCTATTTGTGAAACATGATTGAGAACAGCCCTTCATGGGGCAAGCACATTGGGAGAAAAGGAGAAAGAAACCTATGAGTCAGCAGACGAGACGAGAATGGATATGGTTGTGGGAACCAGCTGGATGCACTCGTGCGTACCTTGATCTGAGCGATGGTGGACTGTACTAGCTGTATCACCTCCAGCAGCATGGCTGCCGTGTCTCTCTGTGGCGTTGGGGAGTTAGGAAGGGGGAGGGGAGCAGAGGGAGAAGGAAAGGGGGATAGATAAAGGCAAATAGGAAAGACATGAGCGGCTGAAACAGCATCAAGAGACCCACCAGCACGGGCACTAATAAAGGCTGGAACGAGGGTTTTTATTGGAGCTAGGCACAAGGATAAATTACAAATTTAGAATGGGCTCGAGGGTAATCACCCTCAGAGAGTAAATTACCTTATTGGAGACAGGCACGAGGTCCAGGAGGCGCTTGACGCGGTGGTTCATGTCGTGCCGCCGCTTCCTCGCAGCCGACGCCGCTGCGTTCTGCACAAACCCCCGCTTGCGGCTGAACCCTGATCCGCCCCCCATCATGTCATCATCCTCATCCTCCTCCATATCATCCATAAACCCGCCCATGTCACCCGCTCCCCGTGCCGCTTGCGCAGCAGCAGCAGCAGCTGCTGAAGCCGAACCTGTTGCTGATGAGCCTCCGCCAGCGCCCAGGGAGGGGAGGGAGGAAGGGGTGGTGGTGATTGAAGCGCTTCGGGGAACCATCTTGTATCCAAAGCCCAGCGGCCCGTTGCCTCCCGCGTACTGCAGCTGCATCACCGTGTCATTGTGCCCTGCGGGGTTAGGGTCGTTCTTCAATATTGTGTGCTTGAATGCGCCTCCCTTTCCTCCTCCTGCTCCTCCTCCTCCTCCTGCTGCTGCCCCACCCTCGTTTTCCTCAGCAGCATCCAGGCTCAGCTTCAGCTCGTCCTCCTCGCAAGTCAGGTCCACAGACGCACCTGCTCTAGATGCTCCTGACGCACCTGCTCCATCAGATGCACCTCCCCCGGGTGCGCCTGCACCAGTCGCCTCTTCTTTCACAGTCACAGCTCCGTTGCCAGCGCTGCCGGCATGCCCACGGACGTCATGGGGCCGTGCTGCTGACGTAGCACAAGGTAGGGACGGGAGGACCAGGGCACGAGCAGGAGCAGCAGTAGGAGCAGGAGGAGAAGCAGTAGGAACAGCAGTAGGAGCAGCAGTGATGGTGGCAGTAGGGGCGGCAGTGGCGGAGGAGGGAGTGCAGGGTGGTGCTGATGGGGAGCGGAGGAGGGCGGGGTGCGTTGAGAGGAGCGGGCGAGAGGGGGGAGGTGGGAGGGGCTGCGACTGCGACTGCTGCAGCTGCTGCAGCTGCTGCTGCTGCTGCTGTTGTTGCTGGGACTGGTGCTGCTGTTGCTGCTGCAGCGGCGGCTGCTGGGTGTGCATTGGTCGCTGCTGTTGCAGCGTCAGGGGCGCGAGGGAGGAGTGGTCCAGCGCTGGGGGCGGCAGAGAGCGATTGGGGACGAGCAAGGGGGTTCCCCTGGGGGCGTGGATGCCGCTGTAGGGGGCGCCATTACTGTTGGAGGTGCTGCTGTTGCTGTTGCCGAAGCGAGAGGCAGGGAGGGAGAGGGGCGCGTGAGAGAGGGGAATGGGCGGAGCACGGGGAGCAGCAGCGGCGGCAATAACAGGCGTGCTGGCGTTAGAGAAAGCGGGCGACCCTGCTGCTGCTGCCGCTGGTGCCAGTGCTGCTGGTGCTGCCAGTGGTGGTGAGTTAGACGAAGCTCTAAGAGCATTCGGAGCAGCAGAAGCATCAGCAGCAGGAGCAGTGGGAGGAGTGGAGTATCGTTCAAGGAGAGAAGGAGAGGAGAAGGGCGGCCCCGTGGAGGGGGTAACTGCGGGAGTCCTCGGAGGAGCAGACATGCTGTTATATCCGTTACTGTTACTGTTACTGTTACTGTTACCAATGCTGTTACCAATGCTGTTGGGGGTGCTGTTACTGGTATTCATGTTATTAACTCTCATGTTGTTGGGCTGCCAGCCTTGCGGTGTGGCTGTGTGGGAGAAGGATTGAGAGTGGGACAAGGGATGGTGACCGTGGGATGGTCGGGGCTGGCTTGGCGGAGCGTAGGAGGCAGAGTGGGAGCGAGTGAGAGGAGGAAGGGTCGAGGAAGCTGGGACACCAGCAGCACTAGCAGCACCAGCAGCACCTGTACCAGCAGCAGCAGCCCCAGCGCAGCAGGTGCAGGCCGCATGCATGTGTGCGGCGGACGCAGCCCTGTTGCTCGTCCCGCCGCCCACGTTATTGGCGCTGTTATTGCCCCTGCCAATCACCATGCCATTATTATTATTATTATTATTATTATTGTTATTATTGAAGTTATTGGCGCTCATGCTGTTATTCCCAGTTATTCCCGGGCTTGAGCTTGGACCAATAGGCATGGCAGGACCGGCAGGAGCAGGAGGGGAAGGAGGCAGAGGAGGGGGAGCAAAGGCAGGAGGGGGAGGAGGCAGAGGAGGGGGAGCAAAGGCAGGAGGAGGAACGGCGGGTGTGGAGGGAGGAGGGGAGGGCGAGACGAGGGGGATTCGGACCACTGACGTGTCCACGAAGCTTCCAAAGCCGCTGCGTCCTGCTGCTTGTGCCGCTCTGCTGTTGCTGCTGCCCGCCTGTTGCCCTTGCTGCTGCTGCGGCAGCTGCTGCATCTGAAACGGCGGCTGTTGCTGCACGGGCGGCTGCTGTAGCATCACCTGTGGCGGGGCCTGTAGCGGCGGCTGTAGCGCTGGCGGCACGAGGTGCCCAGTGGCACCGCCACGCGCGCCACCATGCTGCATGCAGCTGCACACCCCGTGACCATCACCACAGTGGTTGTGGCTGTGGCTGTGGCTCTGTGAGCTTGCAACGCGACGGCTCGTACAGGCGCCACCGCTGCAACTGGCAGCAGTGAGGCCGGTGGTGTTTGCTCCCAGCGGCACTGCTGCTGCTGCTGGGCCTGATATTGCCGTCCCCCCGCTGGAAGCTTTTCTCTGCATGAAAGGCAGGAAGGATCCCAGGAGCATTGGCTTTGCTGCTCCTTCTCGCACCTGCTGCTGCTGCTGCCGGCGCTGATATTGCTGCTGCTGCTGCTGTTGCTGACGCTGATATTGTTGCTGCTGCTGTTGCTGCTGATGCTGCAGTTGGTCTTGCTGCTGGCGCTGATACTGTTGTTGTTGCTGCTGCTGCTGCTGCTGCTGCTGCTGCTGCTGCTGCTGCTGCTGCTGCTGCTGCTGCTGCTGCTGCTGCTGCTGCTGCTGCTGCTGCTGCTGATACTGCTGGTGATGCTGCTGTTGCCTCTGCTGCTGTGTCTGTGAAAGACGCTTGAGCTCTGGCTGCTGGTATAGCTGCTGCTGCTGCTGCTGCTGCTGCTGCTGCTGCTGCTGCTGCTGATGCTGCTGCTGATACTGCTGGTGATGCTGCTGTTGCCTCTGCTGCTGTGTCTGTGAAAGACGCTTGAGCTCTGGCTGCTGGTATAGCTGCTGCTGCTGCTGCTGCTGCTGCTGCTGCTGCTGCTGCTGCTGCGGCTGCTGTTGCTGGTGCTGCGGCTGCTGTTGCTGGTGCTGTTGCTGATGTTGCTGCTGCTGTTGCTGCTGTTGCTGCTGCTGTTGCTGGTGGTGTTGCTGCTGATACTGCTGCTGCTGCTGCTGCTGCTGCTGCTGCTGCTGTTGCTGCGGCTGTTGCTGCTGCTGCTGCGACGGTGGCGGTAGGTGCATTTGCTGCTGGTACTGCTGCTGGGCCGACACTCCCGCTTGTGGCGAACGCTGTTGCCTCGATGCCTCTGTCTGTTGCTGCTGCTGCAGCAACTGTGTTTGCTGCGGCGGCAGCTGTGACACTTGCACAACAGAGCTGCGCCCCCTCCCTCCGCTCCTTATCGCCTCCGCGCTCTCCCCCTCTGCCCCACGCGGGTATCCATCTCCGTTCGCACTGCCTGCAGTCACTCCACCTGCTCTCGCACCTGACTCTGGCCCTGAACCCGAACCTAGGGCGGAGCCTAGGCCCGAGCCTAGCCCCGAGCCTGAGCCCGAGTCAGCGGGGAGTCCGGCGGGGTGCATGGGGAGAGGGGAGCCATCGAGGCTGCCCAGCCCCGCGAAGATGTTGCTCTCTGCCGCGCTGCCACCCGCCTGTAACACAGGCGACTGCTGCTGCTGCTGCTGCTGTGGTGGTTGCTGCGGCTGTAGTGGCTGCTGCGGCTGCTGGTATTGCGGCGATTGCCGCTGCTGCTGCTGTTGCTGCTGCAGGAGCGGCTGCTGCGGCGGCCTGGGAGGGGGAGGAGGGAGGTCCGCTTGGCCCAGTGGCGGCGGGGTGCGCGGGGAGATGCTGCCGCCCGCCACGATGGCGACGGCGGCGGCGGCAGCGACGGCGAGAGCGGGGGAGTCGGAGAAGGTGAGGTCGCGAACCAGCGCCGTGCTGCTGCTGCTGTGGTTCATCTCACTGCCGTACTGCGCCTGCTGCTGCTGTTGCTGCATCTGCGACTGCATCTGCTGCTGTTGACTGTTAGCGTTGTACGGCTGCGGCTGCGGCTGCTGCTGCTGCTGCTGCTGCTGCTGCTGCTGCTGCTGCTGCTGCTGCTGCTGCAGAAGCGGCTGCTGCGGCGCATCCAGCGGCTGCTGCGGCGCATCCAGCGGCCGCGTGTCGTTTTCCCGCGCGTTAAGGCGGTCCATCAGGTTGCCCCGCACTGCCCGCCGAGCCTCGTTATAAGCCAGCCCGCGGTAAGTACTAGGCGAGCAGACGATCGGAGCGGGCCCAGCATTTCCCGGAAACAGGTCGCTCTGAGGCGTGGGGGAGACACGAACATCCGACGTGGACGACGGGCCAATGGAAGACGGACACGTGGAGGCCTGGCCGGTCTCGCAGAGGATATCGGAAACGGGCGTGTCGTAATAGGAGGTGAGGGACCAAGGCTCAGGTGATTGGTTGGCGGCGTATGACGGGCCGTTAGTGTAGGAGAGCGCATTGGTGTAAGATGACGGCGCGTTGTTGCTAGACGGCCCGTTAGTGTACGAAAGGGCGTTGTTGAACGACCCGCCGTCCGATCCGCCGCCGATCGCCCGGCTGCCGTGCGGCGCAGGGGTGGCGAAGCTCACCGAATCAACGGCCATTATTAGATCCTGCACGGTCATCCCAGGCATCGGCGAAGTGCGCGAGAGCAGCAAACCCGCCGAGTCTGTCCCGGACAGATTAACTCCAAACGGACTATTCCCGCCACTCATACCCCCCATCCCGCGATTCCCGCCGCCAGATCCGGTGGGCATCGCCCCAGTGTCCATCCCCGGTCCGCTTTCCCCTTGGTACCCGCGGCTTCCGCCACTTCCGCCGCTGTTTCCCGCGAAAGGCGGCGCTTCGTGCAGCATTGTGCTGTCGCCGCTGATAGGGTCGTTGAAAATGTCGTCTTCGCTCGGCAGCCACGCCGGCGACCAGCACATTCCGCCTGCGCCGTCCCCTCCCGCCCCCCCTCCGCTCTTGCGCGGAGTTTCCGCCTCTGGGATCCGCGTGTGCGGGGACGGGCGGGAGAGGCGCGCCTCCATGTCGTCGGCGGCTGTCAGAAAAGATGACGGGCCGGGAGGAGATGACGGATCGAAGTCGTCGGCGAACTCTGTGTCGGAGAGGCGCTCCGACGAGGTGAAGCACGCGCTCGCGCCGCCCGGGTCGAGCCCGTGCATGGCGTCGAGCGCCGCCCAGAACGGCGGCGCTGGGCTGATTTGCGGCGCGAAGAGGGAAATCGGCGCGGAGGGATCGTCGAGAGACATTTTGGTGGCGGGAGCGTTGTGACCGGGGGAGGCGAGGGGGAGGTGGATGAGGACTGAATCGTCCGACATTGTGCGGCTCTGCTGGGCTAACGAACGGGTATACGTGGATAACGGCTAGTTTTTGGCGCGCTGCGCGTGGCTAAAGATCGAGACCATGACCCATTTACGCGCGCAGGAGAAGGATTGACTCTTACTATAACTCCTACTCGTTAGATGCTCGACTCTGCTTCACGGTCAATACTACTAATTGCGCCGAAGCCTCTTTTTTTTTTGCTCTGTGAGTTTTGGTTAGACCGATTCTGGGAAGGACAACAAGGGAAGGGACCTGGAGATCGAGATTAGAGGAGACGAAACGAGCAACACTCTACTGCGTAGAGAAAGCCAGGGCAGGATGGCAGGAGCGAGGGGAGGAAGGGACCTGAGACGATCACCTAGCATAGTGATGGGAAGGGGCGAAATGGCGTGGATGGTGGAATTGGGAGGCAAGGGTGCGCGATGCAGGTAGGGACTGCTGGTGCTGTGATTCCCAAACCGTGCCACATGCCCAGATTGCCCCATGCTATGTCGAAGTTCTGAAATCGGAGCGCATGTCCACGGCCTCTGGGTGACAATGCCATGAGCGCGGCGCGCGGGAATGTGTGGCGAAAAGAGTTTGAAACACGAAAGTCGACGGCACAGTGACCTTCCGTCACAGAGCGTTGCGTCCGTGGCCGTTGGATCTGAAATGCTCTACATCGACAGTCCGATCGTCAATGTTCGTGCCTTTTCAATGGGTTTCTGAAGGCGGCACTGAAAGCTTTAGCCTTGCCGGGCAGGTTTGAGCAAATCAGTCCAATGTGCAAACCAAATAGGGGCAGTTTTTGCACATGGCACCACGGTAATGCGAAACATCGCAAGGCAACCCACACACAAAATTCTCCCAGGGCTTTTCACGACAACGAGAAATCGCCGTATCATAGGTCTGACTACTGACAGCAATCGCACGTCCTGCAGTGTCATGCCTTGATTCGCACGGATGTTACCAATCTGGTGTCTGTCGTCAGATTCGTACGAACGAGTCGTGAATGTACTCATTAGACGGTTGATTCCAACTTCACTTGTAGGTAGAAGTGTCTGTCCTATAGTCAGGTCTTGAGCACAAACATATGCGCGACTGGGCCGACGGATCTGATATGTGCGTAGTGGGCAAGCGACCTTATGTGCGGCTTCCACGACGAGGTACATTTCGTGAACAACACAGCGCATATAAAAAATTGTTTACCAGGGCCGAAGGACATGAAAAATGAAGTCGCGCGACACCGAATCGAAGGCTTTCTGAAAATCAGCGTGGAGTCTTCACTGTCATTCTTTGTTGCTCAATGATGCCGGCGACCAGTGCTAGTCCTGGTCATGAAACCATAGTCCTCCGGCGAGATGATCATGTGTGGTACTGCCTTGCTTCGATCCACAACCACTTTTGCCAGCACCTTGTAGGAGAGGTTCAGTAGGGTGATGGGTCTGTAGTTGTTAAGCTAGCCCTTCTCCCCTTTCTTGTGCACGAGGATCTTCACCGCCTCTTTAACATCCGTGGGTAGCATTGCCGTTGATGCCATGTCATTCGACAATGCCATGAAACTCCCACCCAAAAGGTCAGAGTGAGCTTCAAATAGCTCCTTCGATAGTCCGTCGATTCCCGGTGATTTATTCCCGGCCATAGCCAAGAAGGCCACTTTAACATTTGTCTCTGTCTAGTCCGCTTCCAACCCCTTCGCTGTTCCAAAGACTCACCTTCCTCCCAGGCGCTGGAGACCGATCCGTGAGGTCCACACACCGATCTCTGCCGAAGATTTGCGTGAAGTACTCTGATGCGGCATTTAGGATCTGCTTTGAGTCTCACACCACACTTCCAACGACCTGGAGCTCTCCGATTTGAGTACGACATTTCCTCGTCTTGACCTTCGCCGACAACTACTTCGATGAGAACTTACCAAGTTCCTCACTAAGCCCCACCATGAGGTGCAGTTTATCCAATTTGGTCGCCTGATACTCCTTTAACTGCAATTCCTTCTCCTCTAGAAGCATTCTCCTTTGATCACAGATAGGGTTACCCATCACCTCTTACCGCAGCACAGCTACCGTCTCCGTCAGGTGGGTGCACGTTGCTCGAATCCGCTTGCTCTCTTCTGTTGTGAAGGTGCGGAGCCCCGCACTCAGCCTTGAAGTAAGCATTTCGAAGCTACTGCCATATGTAATTGTGACTGTATTCATTGTTGCTTCAATAATTATTTGAACACCAGGCATGTGTATCACTTATGCGTGCGGTCGCTAGATGCCAGGGCCCGTTCGAGCCTTAGCGTCAATCTTGAAGGCGACTTTCACTACAAAACTATGGTCGGATACTTTGTCAGCCAGTGTGATATAGCAGTCTGCTCCAGGTAGGGTAGCAGTGACTAGGACAGCAGGGCTCGATCTATTATGGAGCTAACCTTCTTGGCGCGTGAGTAAAACGAGTACTCTGGTTTCCGCGGTTATAAAGTGCGAAAGGAACCGGAGAGCTGGAGTGCACTGCAACAACTGAAAAGCCTACCATTCTCTGCCTTGGAGCCTTGACCTGAGGTTTTGTCTAAGCGTGGGTCCTCTACCATGTTAAGGTCACCGATAATGAGCAGGTGAAAGCCGACTGAGATCTGATTTATGACTGGACCCAGGACATGGGAGATGAAAGGAGTTCAGGAAGCTAAGTCAACTGGGAAGTAAGCAGCAACTACGATGAGCAGGAGACCTGGACCGCTAGCATCTACTCTAATGATCCTGCCTGGTGGATGAGGGTGAGCATTGGAGAAAGTGAGGCTTGGGTTGCGACAAAGGACTGCAACTCCTCCATCCCTAGTTCTGGGAGAGGTTGCTGCTACTGACGTGAAGAGTGGTGAGAACCAATAAGTGTGATTTGCAGGTAGTCCAGTGTCTACTAGGATTGAGATGTTTGGTACTTCCTTCACCCAGTCTACTTCACGAGCTTCCTTTGTGAGGTCACCTTGGCCATTGACGTTAAGTCCCGCGCAGGTAAGATGGCCTTTGTTACTCGTTTAACTGGCAGCCCCTATGCATCCACATGCAGAGGAAAGCTACGTCACTGACAACATTAACCACTGAACTCCATCTTGCTGCTGTTGCGACTAGCCTATTGAGATGATGCAGCTACATATCTCGTACTCTTTCTTGATGACATTGAGACCTGCCTTCTTGTGTGACCCTTTGGTTGCAGATCCCAATCTCTCGAGGTGTATTAGACGGTTGGCGGATGCGATGCGCTTTAATGCTGTCATGAAGCACTTCCCATGAGCCTTTTTGCAGCCCGCCTATGTGCAAAGCAACTCTTCCCTGTTGATCCACGTCGATATTAAAGCCAGAGCCGGGTCTCGGAGGAGAGGGAGGATTAGCTGGGTGGCTTTCAAGGACGCAGCTGCGATGATCAAGCGTCACGTTAGTAAGCGGAGAAATTGGTCAGCACCAGACTAGAAATATGAGCAGCTAGAAGTCATTACCGTAAAGCCTATGGACCTTTCCCGAAGTAAGAGTCCATTTACGTTGTTATGATGCTAAGACATGAAAGCATCATGTTACTTATCATAACGCTGACCCCTGTGTCAAACTTATATGCTATAATCTGTTTAGGCTGTAGTGGGGTAGTTGTTACAGGGTACAACACTTGTAGGTTTCCTATATGTACCCACCTGCTTTCTAGTTCATTCATTCCTCTCATTCTTCTCACATGGTATAGAGCAGGTTACCTAGTGGAATTTTTTTAGGGCCCACCACTACTTTTTTTTTTTTTTTTCCTTACCTGCCCGAAGCGCGTTTCGCGTTCGTCCTAGCAGCGCCCCGTGCGCCTGCCCTTCGCGGCCCTTCGCGGCCCCTCGCGGCCCCTTAGCGGCCCTTTGCGGCCCCCCCTTCGCGGCCCTTTGAGGCCCCTTTCGCGGCCCTTCGCGGCCCCTCGCGGCCCTTTGCGGCCCCTTAACGGCCCTTCGTGGCCCCCTTCGCGGCCCCCTTTCGCGGCTCTTCGCGGCCCCTTCCGGCCCCTGCTGACGCGCCCCTGCTGGTGCGCCCCCGCTGACGCGCCCCTGCTGGTGTGCCCCTCTGCCGGCCCCTGCTGACGAGCCCCTGCCGGCCCTTGCTAACGAGCCTCTGCCTGGCTCCTACTGGCGCGCCCCTGCCGGCCCCTGCTGGCGCGGCCCCTGCTGGCGCGCCTCTGCCGGCCCCTGCTGACGCGCCCCTGCTGGCGCGCCCCTGCCGGCCCCTGCTGACGCGTCTCTGCCAGCCCCTACTGGCACGGCCCCTGCAGTCACGGCCCGTCCCTGCACCCGTCTCTGGTAAGCCGAGCCACGCCGCCCAGCCGAGCCGCGCCGCCCAGCCGAGCCGCGCCGCCCAGCCGAGTCGCGCCGCTCAGCCGAGGCGCGCCGCCCCCTACCGAGCAGCACTGCCTTGCACTGCCCTGCTGCTACTGCTTCTACTGCTGCTACTGCTGCTACTGCTGCTACTGCTGTTACTGCTGCAACTGCTCCTACTGCTACTATGGCTAGTCCTACCGTTCTCACCTTTGATGCTGAGGGTCGTGCAGTTGACTTTGACGTGTGGGTTGACGACCTACAGCTCTTTCTTTAGTGTGATTCTAGGGATGGGGTATCCCTTTTCGATCACACGCCCGGTGTTTCCACTGCTCCTGCTGCCACTGCTGACAGTACTATTCGCTCGCAGTGGACCACTCGTGACGCTGTTGCTCGTCTTGCTGTTCGTAGTCACGTGCCGCCTGCTGAGCGCGCACACTTTGGCCAGTACAAGACTGCTCAGTCTTTGTACGACGCTGTAGTTGCACGCTACTCCTCCCCTGCCACTGCTGCCCTCAGCCGCCTCATGCTGCCGTACCTTTTCCCTGACCTTGCCGCCTTTGCCACAGTCGCTGACCTAGTTGCTCACCTTCGCACTAGTGACGCCCGCTACCGCGCTGCCCTTCACACTGAGTTCTATGCCAAGAACCCCCCCCCCATGTACATCACCCTTTACTACCTAGTCACCTGCCTCCCTGACTCCCT